AACCCAACAGATAACTAAGACAAGTAATCATGTGTCGTGCAGTGGTATTACTTGGTATTACTTGTGAATGCACTGTTGCGTGGTGGCGGAGGTGTCGGGCCTGCGTGTGCTTGGGGGAGGGAGAAGTGGAGGAGGGAGGAGAGGAGGAGGGAGGAGAGGAGGAAGAGGGAAGAGGGAAGAGGAAGAGGGAAGAGGGAAGAGGGAAGAGGGAAGAGAAGAGGAAGAGGGAAGAGGGAAGAGGGAAGAGGAAGAGGGAAGAGGGAAGAGGAAAGGGAGGGAAGAGGGAAGAGGGAAGAGGGAAGAGGGAAGAGGGAAGAGGGGAGGGGAGGGGAGGGAAGAGGGAGGAGGGAGGAGGAGGAGGGAGGAGAGGAAGAGGTGTGGAAAGGAGAGGGGAGGGAGTGAGGAAGGGGAGAGAAGAGGGAGGGGAAAGAGGAGAGAGGGAAGGGAAGGAGGAAGGTATAGGTGGAAGGGAAAGGGGGGGAGAAGGGAAAAGGATGAAAGGGAGAAATGTGTATGGAAAGAGGGAAGGGGAGTGTGGAAAAGAGAGGGAGGGGCGTGAAGAGGGGAAAAGGAGAAGAACGTAGAAGAAAAAAAATACAGAAGGGATGGACAAGGAATAAAGGGAAGAGAGAAAGAGGAAGGGAAAGGGGCCTGGGGATAGAAGGGTGGGTGGAGGGGACACAGAGAGAGGGGAAGGGGCGGGAGGGGGGGGGGGGGGCTTTTGCTTGTACATTCCATTCTTGTTTGTGAGTTTTGTATCGACTGTGCAGGGGCTTCGGTTAGTGTGCTTGGCGGGGGGAGGGAGGGGAGGAGAGGGAGGAGAGGGGAGGGGGTGGGGGACTGTAGCTTCTGGAGGGCGAGACGTCATGCGAAGGAAGGGATATGTGGTCCGAAGTTATGGTGATTAGGATAAGAACATGAGTGATGATTATGATGATTATGTTGATGATGATGATGATGATGATGATGATGTTGATGAAGATGGTGATCATGATGGTGATGATGCCACCATTATTAATAATGGTAATATTGCTACTACTATTATAAGTAATAGTAATGATAATGATGACAATGGCAGTGATAATAAATATTCATGAGTAATAAGGGATGATATTCAATACTAGCACAGTAATAACTGATAATAAACATGATTGAATGGATTCAGTGATAGCTTGAGGAAGGGCGAAGAAGAAGGATAAGAGGAGGGAATAAGGAGGAGAGGAGAGAGAGAAGGAGGAGAGGAGGGGAAGAAGAGGGAGAGGAGGAGAGGAGGAGAGAAGAAGGGAGGAGAGGAGAGAGAGAACGGAGAGAGGAGAGAGGAGGAGGGAGGAGAGCGAGGAAGAAGGGAGGAGAGGAGAGAGAGAAGGAAGGAGAGGAGAGAGAGAAGGGAGGAGAGGAGGAGAAGGGAGGGAGAGGAGAGGAGAAGGGAGAGAGGAGAGGAGAAGGAGAAGAAGAGAAGAAGGAGGAGAGGCGAGGGGCGTGCAATGCGACAGTCAAGAAGGGGGTTTAGCTGTAGCGTTGGCGCAGCAAACACCGGGCGCGACGGGCGGGCGGGCGGGCGGGTGAGCGGGCGGCGCAAACCTCCCGCTAAGCTAAGTCTAATTCATGGCGCCTTCTCACGAGCGGTGGGCGCGATTATGCCGTCTTCCCGTGGCGCGCCTTTCCTGCGGGCGCTTGTTAGGAGGGCGGGGGGGGGGGGGGAGGGGGGTCACGGGGGAAGGGAGAGCGTCTTTTTTCTATCTTTAGGGGGGTAGGGCGGGGGGTAGGGTGCTGGGGTAGCTAGGGGCATTTCCCGAGTAGGAAGGGGGAAGGTAGCAGGGGTGAGGTCACGGAGGGAAGGGAGAGGTTAGGGAGGGAAGGGGAGAGGATAGGGAAGGGGGGTTGATAAAGGGGGGGGGGGTCATGGGAAGGATGGTGGGCTTGGGGGCTGGGGGTGGGGGGGGGGGCGCTACGAACACGCGTCTCTCGGCTCTGTTCGTGCTTGCGTGTGCAGGGCGTGGCGAGTGACCGCAGCCGCACGCGGAATGCAAGCGCAAGTGTCACAGCACGCCCACGCCGCGGGAAACAAGCATATCCCCCTCATAAAGGCACGAGTCTCATTGCACCTTCAGTTAATTACTATTATTAGCATCATAATTTTATTTGTTATACTATTATGATGATTTTTGATATCACCATCAATGTTTTTTTTATTGTTGTTTCCGTTATTGCAATCGTCCTCCTGCCCCTGCCGTGGCCACCGCCGTCACGCAGATAGGGCGGCGTGGATCGGGCCTTGAGTTCCGCCTTCCCTTCCGGGCTGACAGGCTGCGTCCCATACATGTTTATATGTATGTATATATGTATATACATATGCGTATATATATATGTGTATATATGATATATATGTATATATGTATATATGTATATATATGTATATATATATATATATATATATATATATATATGTTTGTGTACAAGGTCTATATAAATACTTATATAGACCTTGTTTGTGTGTGTGTGTGTGTGTGTTGTGTGTGTGTGTGTGTGTTGTGTGTGTGTGTGTGTGTGTGTGTGGTGTGTGTGTGTGTGTGTGTGTGTGTGTGTGTGTGTGTGTGTGTGTGTGTGTGTGTGTGTGTGTGTGTGTGTGTGTGTGTGTGTGTGTGTGTGTGTGTGTGTGTGGTGCAGATGTAAACACACACACACAACAACAAGGTCTATATAAGTATTTTATATAGACCTTGTGCACAAACAATAAACAACACACGCGCAATTACTTTAAAAGGTGAAAGAACTACACAAGATCCTATACAAAAAACAAACAAACAAACAAATGCCTGTAGATTTCAGGAAAACACTAATTCCGTGGAATTTAGAGCCTCAAGCAAAGAAAATAAATAACACGAAGAATGAGAAATGACCCAAGAATGCGAGGAGAGAAGTGCCATTGTTCACAGCCTGACAAGACCACAGTGTGCGAATCATAGCGGGTCTCGAGGCAGCCACAGGGCGCCGCATGTGGATCAAGCAACTGGGGGAAGATTAGCCAAGTGTGTCATCTGTTCAGTGGGCGCCCTCGCTTGGGTGGGCGTTCAGCGAGGGCCTGAGGCGATGAGGCAAAGGGAACGTGAGGAATGGGAGAGTAAAGGGGCGAGGGGAGGGGGAGGCAAGGCGAGGGGGGGAGGGGCAGGGGAGGCAAGGGAAGGGGAAGGGGAAGGGGGGGAGGGGGAGGGGAGGGGAAGGATGGGTGAAGGAGGGAGTGATGGAGGAGAGGGAGTGGAAGTGGTGGAAGAGGGGTGGAGGGTCTTCCTCCTCGACACGCTGCTTGCATGCCGGGTGCCACTGTACTTTTGGTAAATGGTTGGGGTCTCAGGCCCAACAGCTGGGGGAGAAAATGTGCGATTTGTGAGACATGACAAGAACGGGCTTCTTAAAGTAAATGAGAAAAGAAATGGTTGAGCGATCTCTCTCTCTCTCTCTCTCTCTCTCTCTCTCTCTCTCTCTCTCTTCTCTCTCTCTCTCTCTCTCTCTCTCTCTCTCTCTCTCTCTCTCTCTCTCTCTCTCTCTCTCTCTCTCTCTCTCTCTCATCTCTCTCTCTCTCTCTCTCCTCTCTCTCTCTCTCTCTCTCTCTCTCTCTCTCTCTCTCTCTCTCTCTCTCTCTCTCTCTCTCTCTCTCTCTCTCTCTCTCTCTCTCTCTCTCTCTCTCTCTCTCTCTCTCTCTCTCTCTCTCTCTCTCTCTCTCTCTCTCTCTCTCTCTCTCTCTCTCTCTCTCTCTCTCTCTCTCTCTCTCTCTCTCTCTCTCTCTCTCTCTCTCTCTCGCTCTCTCTCTCTCTCTCTCTCTCTCTCTCTCTCTCTCTCTCTCTCTCTCTCTCTCTCTCTCTCTCTCTCTCTCTCTCTCTCTCTCTCTCTCTCTCTCTCTTCTCTCTCTCTCTCTCTCTCTCTCTCTCTCTCTCTCTCTCTCTCTCTCTCTCTCTCTCTCTGGCTCTCTCTCTCTCTCTCTCTCTCTCTCTCTCTCTCTCTCTCTCTCTCTCTCTCTCTCTCTCTCTCTCTCTCTCTCTCTCTCTCTCTCTCTCTCTCTCTCTCTCTCTCTCTCTCTCTCTCTCTCTCTCTCTCTTCTCTCTCTCTCTCTCTCTCTCTCTCTCTCTCTCTCTCTCTCTCTCTCTCTCTCTCTCTCTCTCTCTCTCTCTCTCTCTCTCTCTCTCTCTTCTCTCTCTCTCTTCCTCTCTCTCTCTTTCTCCCTCTCTCCTCCCTCCCTTTCCCTCTCCTTTCTCCCTTCTCTCCCTTCTCTCCTCCCTTTCCTCTCCCTTCTCTCTCCTTCTCTCCCCTCTCCCTCTCCTCACTCTGTCGCCACGGACCCCTTTAAAAATCCGATGAGCACTTTGGACCCCCTTCCCCTAAAATATTCACATAAACACAACTTTACAAACAATGTGTATAATGTACTTTATTAATTGAGATTTGATTGTATATGAGATACACAAAGTATGATTAAAAAAACCCTGCTCTAGATAGGTAGATATTTAGATAAACAAAACAAACAAATAAATGAATATATATTGATACTGATTGGTTGATTGATTTAAAACACTAAAGAATGTTTGTTTATGTATGTGATATCAAAATGGAAAATAAGTGTGTCCATGGCGAGGAGGCGTGGACAGTTTCCGTTAAATGAAAGAAATGACGATAATGCTACATAATGATACGATTTAATGAATGCCTAAACAAATATATGACATACAAACATCTATGCACAGCGATTTTTTTTCACCATACTGCATTGCGACACTATAGCTCAAAGGCATGGCTCTCCCCCTCTCCTCTTCCTCCCTCCTCCCCTCTCCTTTGTCTCTCCCTCTTTCTTTCTCGCTCGCTTTGCACGTGATAATTGCGTAATGAAAACCCATAAACGATTACGTAACAGGAGTAGCGATGACGTGCGAGAGCGTGAGTCAGGAACCCGAGAGAGGCACGCAACAAGCAGCTTATACCAGTGTAGGACGCCGTTCCCCTGCGGTGCGTCCAGCTGCAAGGGGCATGCTTTCGAAGGCCAGGGAGCGGTTGCTTGGCGGAGGGTAATGGCAAGGAGGAATAGGAGGTCGTGGGATCAATGACTGTCTTTGGGAAGATTGAGATCATGGCGATGGTGGTATGAGTAATGGCGATGCATGTGATGATTTTTTTTTCCGGCACTAAATGCGATGTTTAGTGCTTTTTGCTCTAATCATTACAGTCGTTGTGTTGCTTTTGTTTCCGGTTTAAATTTTTTTATATCGTAATTGTCATTTGCCTTATTTCCATTATTATTATTTCCTCCATCCTCCGTCCAGATCCTTATCCATAAGAGCAAACAACATGAACTGTGCTTGTACGGCAGACGGCCAACACGACGTCATCTCGAGCTTTCTCTTATGCTGTTCAGTCTATCTACTTTTTGTTCTTTCTTGTTATTTACTTGTATATGTAGGTCATATATTAACTGATATTCTAGTTTGTAATGAAGATGATTCGTGTGCTAATGGAAGCACAAACGAATTCTCTCGTGCAGTTGGCACTTTTTGGTCTAATTAAATGCGCGTGACACGCTCGCACACAGTACACGCACACACATCCACGAGCGCATTAAATAAAGACGTGGTGTTATGATCATCATAAACTTTATATAATTATTAATAAGTAAAAAGAAAACATAGTTTTTTATTCCACTGTGACATCTGAAACCATAACCGCAGCAAATTTATTTATGTGTATGGTACCAGCATATTTACAAATCAGAAATGAAATTGATAAAGTAAAAATTACAGTTTGAAGTTATATAATTATCCAAAATTGTTAATGGTGATGAGTGCATGTGTAACAGTTATTGTAGATATTCAAACAGGCAAACAAATAATCAATTATTTTGTATAAATGGACCTTATATCTTTGAGTTTTCTTGTGTACCCATTCCAAACTCAAAGGAAGGCATACATACATACTACAATAACTCTATGATTAGCAGAGTGGGCCAGACACATACAGTATACATATACAGAAAAGAAAAAAGAAAAAAATAATCTTGTATAATCCCACTGCTGCCACTAGTTGCAGTGCAAAGATCTTAGTATATCACAAGATTTTCATGATACATATTTTGTGGTGTTAACTGAATGCACCAAAACATTTAAAATGCAGTTTGTGATATTGGAATATAATTATATATTATATATATTATAAATAGAGATATCTTGATATATGTTAACTAGAAAATAGATGAATCTTAAACCATTATCCAAGTCACAATGAATAGATAATGTTTATGATGAAAATCATTTATGTTCATTGTGAATCTGCTTATGATGAAAATCATTTATGTTCATTGTGAATCTTATATTGGTTACAAGCCAACACTTTATTTTTATATTTCCAGATTTGTATCAAATCAACATGGCGTATGCCCACTGGAAGTCGGAAAAACGTGAAGACAGGGCTGTGTTTGATCTCTTTTTTCGCAAGAATCCATTCAGCGGAGAGTTCACCATATTTGCAGGCTTAGAGGAATGTTTGAAATTTCTTGAAAATTTTAGGTATTCTGAATCAGGTTAGTAGAAATCCAGATCTTAACATTAGATTTTTCAGTCTATAGATAGAGAAGGTAAATGAATAAATAGTTTATATGTACTGGAATTATTATTACTACTAATTATATGTCACTACCAAAGTAATGTTTATCCTTGTTACAGATATTGAGTACCTAAAAGAGACAATGCCAGACACAGTTGAGCCAGAATTCTTTGATTATTTGGGAAATCTGAGTGCAAATGATGTTAAATTGTATGCCATTGATGAAGGAAAAGTTGTATTTCCAAGGTAACGTATATGGCAAGCAATTTTTGGATGTTTTGGGATTTATTCTTTCATGGTTATTATTTTTAACTAAATGCGGCAGCTTCTGGAATCTGGTTATTTCAAGATTTCAAAAATTAAATTAGTATATCTTACTGTTAAGTATCATATATGAAGCAGATATCAGAAAATGCCACATTTTTTTTAGTGTGTGGTATCTAGTCTTTTTCTTGCATGCAAATTTGGAAAGTTGTGGGATTTTTTTTTTTTTTTTTACACCATCAGTAGAAGAGTTTTGTGGAAGAATATTTATTTATTATCAGTTTACCAAAGATAAAGTTATTGTTTTTTCAGGATCCTGAATTGATGTTACCATTTTGCATATGATCTCCTTATAGCTGATAATGTTTTACCATTATTTGTAAAAAGTAATCAAGACTGTCATTACCAGAGTTCCATTGCTGGTGCTGGAAGGACCTCTGATTGTTATCCAGCTCCTTGAGACGACACTCCTCACTCTTGTCAATTATGCGAGGTTTGTTTCAGCGAGGATTCTTTCTCAGCTACTTTATAATGGATATGTGTCTAAAAATGTACTTATGTACTGTACATGCACAGACTGAAACTCATGCTAACAATTATGGTCACATTCAGCTATTCTGTCATTTTTACTATATCAATTTCATTTCTGTGTCATGCTGTGCTTCATCTTAAAAGTTTGTATGTTTCATTGGCTGTATTCTGTATGGTTTCATTTATAAATATAAATGTTTTTTTTCCAGTCTCATTGCCACAAATGCTGCGAGATACAGGATGGCTGCAGGCCGAAGAATAAAATTGTTGGAGTTTGGCTTGAGAAGGGCACAGGGACCCGATGGTGGTCTGTCAGCATCAAAATATGCATATGTTGGTATGTTGTTCTTTTTATTCATTGTGTTTTACAAAGTTCTATTATTTTTTCTTGTTTCAAGGTAGTCTTGTTTTATTATCTCTACTTAATTTTATTAATGGAAATTAATGAGTAGTTCTGTGACAATTTTCATGTCAGAAAGTCTTACTATGAGAGGATTCCTACCAGAATATCATTGGTAGACCCAATTCTCAGACATCACACACATGCTAGATAAACAAAGCTCACTGACATGTCCATAAGTCTTACTTAAGCACCCTGAACAGACCAGCAAAGATGATATTGTTTCAACCCTACAGTAGTCATCTGTGATGCCATTGTATAAAGAGTGAATTGATATGGGGAGGGTAAAATTTAGAAAAAAGAGAAAGTTATAGATGGCTATGAATAATTCCACAATGCAAATTTTGTAATGGACATTTTGATCTATATCTTCAGGTTTATGTATATGTAATCATGAGGACGTGAGTCTGTTGCTTATCTTCTTTGTACATTCTCATTCCTACTGTTATATATCTTAATTATATTGCTCATGTAAGGCCTTAATGATTAATGATATCAATATGAACACATACACACACATTCACAAAGAATCAATGATTTTGGTGCTTTTTTTATGTATGCCACACTACTACATTTCTATAATAGTCAGTGCTGTATAACGGACCTTTTATATGACAAGCAGTACTCTCTGACGGACCTTTTATATAAGAGACGTGCAGTAAGGCTTCCAACATCCAGTCCCATTCTCCACAGGTGGCTTTGATGGAACCAGTAATGTGCTGGCTGGTAAGCTGTACAACATACCAGTGAAGGGGACGCATGCTCATTCCTATATTTCTTCATACTCCAGTTTAAATGATCTGAAACATGAGGTAAAGTAGATAATGCTTAGATTAATAAAAATGCTACTGCTGTTTGCTATTTGATTTATTTCTTTGTGTAAATAGGGCGGAAACAGTATATGAATAAATTGTGTTTATGTGGACTTATTATAGATTCTGTAAAACTGAGATTATTGATAATTTGTTTGTAAGTGTATTTGCTTGTTAGAATTTATGTATATATACAAATGTATATATGTGTACATATGCAAAATATATATATATATATATGCATATGTATGTATATAGGTATATCACACACACACACACACACACACACACACACACACACACACACACACACACACACACACACACACACACACACACACACACACACACACACACAACACACACACACACACACACACACACACACACACACACACACACACACACATATACATACACATGTGCATGTATATTATATATCTATATATGAATAAATGACTTCACCTCTCCAGCCAGGATTAGTACCTGGGTCTTTGCAGGCATCATCATATCAATGCGGTAGTGCATTATTTTAGCTTTCATATCTATGTGTATATATATATATATATATATATATATATATAATATATATATATATATATATATACACATGAAATTGAACTTGATTTCTGTTCCAGACTCTAAAGCACAGTGAGACCGGTGCAGAGATGAACTTGAAAGACGTATCTCTGGCTTGGAGGAGCTTGCTAGCTGAGAAGTTACACCTAATACACTCAGAAGCATCAGATGGGGAACTGGCAGCATTTATATCGTATGCCATTGCGTTTCCTTCTGGCTTTATTGCTCTCATTGACACTTACGATGTTCTTAAGTGAGTGATGTTACTTGGTTTTAGTTGTAGCACTTGTGTGTTTTTTCTGTTACTGTAGGAAATGTTCTAAAAGGATGTTTGTTAAATTTTAGGGGGCATTGTATTTTGGAAAGCAAGGTATTTACTTTCATTGTTGACCTCAGAAATTGAGTTTTATATGTTGATATTACTGAAGTTTTCATAATATGGCTTGTTCAACACAGCAATTTGTACTGTGAACTAAATTTAAGACCACTAGAACTATTTCTATTGAAAAGGGGATTCTTTTGATTATACTAGTAGATGGAGTATTAAAGTACATCATTAACTGAATATGGGAAAAATCATAATGATTTATGATTTGATACTTGATTTGTAAGGTGGGATTAAAGCTGGCACTGATAAAATGAAAGTAAACAACTGAATCAGATGAATTAAAAATCAGAAATCTGTTTTTTGATTATTCTGAGATAGATTTAGATACTCTGTTCCACAGGTATAACATTATGAAAATAATATTCTTTATTTCAGGAGTGGAATCCTAAATTTCTGTGCAGTTGCTTTGGGTCTTAACGATCTAGGATACAGAGCTATTGGTATAAGAATTGATTCAGGTGATCTTGCATATCTCAGCTGTAAAGCAAGATCAACATTTGCTGCAGTTTCCCAAGAGTAAGTTTATAAATGCTTTTAATATGGAATGTAGAAAATAAAAGTTCTGTTTTTTCATGCCTCAGAAAATACTGAGCAAAAGTACTCCTATTATCTCCTTTAGTGTCGGGATGATGTTATAAGAATTTTGATTGAAAGCTAGGGTGATAGGATTGACTCATCATGAGTGTACAAAGCTCTTGGAGGGTGATTAGACTCCATGCAGATTTGGGAAGGGGCTCTTGTATTATTTCCATCACTTAAGAAGTCTGGAATATACCATCTGTGAGCCATGACTGGAAGAGTGCCAGCACCCTGGACCCAAGGGCTTAATAGCCAATGAAGTAAAAATAGTTTTCACTAATATCTTTTGGATAAAGTTGCATATATAATAACATAACAAATTGCACAATTAACATTCATTTAGCCAGATAGTGCTCCAATTCTTATGGATTGAACCTGCTTGCAAATATGTCATTTGTATTTTATCCACTTCTCACTCTATTCCCAAATGAATTACAAGTACTTTCCTTTCATCTCCATGATTTGCTTTTATCTTCTAACCATGGTCTTGTTTGCAGGATGACACATAACCCCCTGTGGAGTGTGAAATGGCTTTATAAAGATATGTTTAAATTGAACACAAAAACAATTCTGGTTGCAGCTTTGAACTGGAGTGGTTTGAACACCTTCAGATTGTTGCCAGCAATGACATCAATGAAGATACTATCATCAGTCTCAATGAACAGGGTCACAAGATTGACAGTTTCGGTATTGGAACGCATTTAGGTATGACGATGGTAACTTTCTTAGGGTTAAGGTTATATTGTAAGAGATATTTTGAAAGATTTCTATTCACTTTACAGTTTATCAAGAGAGGTGTATGTATATACAGGAAGAGAAGTGTATATATTACATTTAAAGTTTTTTCAATTAATATACAGTATATGAATAAATCTGCATCATCAACATTTACAGTGACATGTCAGAGACAGCCAGCACTTGGATGCGTTTTCAAATTGGTTGAGATTAATGGCATACCAAAGATCAAGCTCTCCCAGGACGTTGAGAAAGTTACCATTCCAGGGAAGAAGTCTGTGTATCGGCTCTATGGCGCTGATGGTAAGATTGTTTTGCTTGATAAAGCTATATATATATATATATATATATATTATATATATATAGTTATGACTTTATGTAAATATATTTCAGTTTTTTTCCAATGAAAAATGTTCCATAGAAATACTCTCAGGATATATATATATATATATATATATATATATATATATATATAATATAAAATTATATTCTTCAAAATTCATCAGCAGTGAGGGTATACTTTAGAGAGTGGAGAAGTTTGCTCTTGATCAAGTGCTTCTACACTTTATTTTATTTTATTTAATTATTTCATAGATTTCAGTTTATAGAAACAATGGAGATACTCAGTGAAAACACTTCCATGAATAATACATTGATTTTTTTTTCTTCATGAGGGAACAGCTTTGAAGTAGCGATATGGAATGTTGCAACTTTTTATCTTGAGAGTCTTTATGGTGAATCTGCAAAAAACAGCATATTTTCATAATAATAATAAGCCTTCAAACAGAACCCATAGAAATGATAATCTCAGACTGAGACCTTTATAGAATCACATCTATTAATCCTAGTTTTGCTTGAAGACATTTCTATAGAATTAGTTTCATTATCAACTGTATTTATAGTAAAGAAAGATAGATGAAAGCACCTTCTTGTTATTTTCATTCTTTTTCTTACAAATCTGTTATAATGTCAAGGTCATGCACTGATTGACCTGATGCAACGCACTGAAGAGCCTGCACCTCAGTCTGAAACAAGAGTGCTGTGTCGTCATCCATTCCAGGAGAGCAAGCGTGCATATGTTTGCCCAGCTAAAGTTGAATCTTTGTTTAAGGTAAGTATCTGAGTAATTGAATCTTTGGTTAATAGGATCTGTGTCATTTGTGGTTGATGCTAATTGTTTTATCAGTTTATGTTGTATGTAGAGGACATGCATACATATGAATTTGTATATTTTTCATTTGCATCTCAAGTTCGTTGACAGATTTTTGCTTTACAAGATTAAAATTCTTCTAGTCCCGTATTTCAGACCTTGTAATTGCAAATACCTTGAATTTTAACAATCCACCTCTTTTCTCCCTCTCTCAGCTTTACTGGAAAGATGGAGAACTTCAGCAGGACATGCCTACGTTGGAAGGAGTTCGAGACAGAGTGCAGGAGTCCCTTCAGACGTTGAGGCAAGACCACAAGCGCAACCTGAACCCAACTCCCTATAAGGTAAGAACTTTTTTTTTCTGGTTTGCAAGGTTTTTAGGTAATGTGCTGTTTATTATGCAATGTGGGTGTACTCATTTCTTGGTTGAAAATTGCTAGTTTGGATAACTGTTATGTTATTCTCATTGCTGTTCTTGTC